ACACAAGAGACCTTGAATAACTAAAGCAATCTTGAGGAGAAAAAAAAAAAAAGGAGCTGGAGGAATCAGGCTCCCTGACTTCAGACTATACTACAAACCTACAGTCATCAAAACAGTATGGTATTGACACAAAAACGGACATGTAGACTAATGGAACATGATAGAAAGCCCAGAAATTAATCCACACACATATGGTCAATTAAGCTATGATAAAAGGAGGCAAAGACGTTCTCTTCAACAAGTGGTGCTGGGAAAACTGGACAGCTACATATTAAAAAATAAAGCAATTAGAATATTCTTTTACACCATACACAAAAATAAACTCGAAATGGATTAAAACCTAAATATAAGACTAGACACATAAAACTTCTAGAGAAAAACATGAGCAGAAAACTTTGACGTAAATCCCAGCAATATCTTTTTGGACCGACCTCCTAGAAGAACAAAAATGAAAACAAAAATAAACAAATGGGACCAAATTAAACTTAAAAGTTTTTGCATAGCAAAGGAAATCATAACACAAAAAGACAACCCATAGAATGGGAGAATACATTTGCAAGCAATGTGTCTGATCAATCTCCAAAATATACAAATAGCTTATGCAGCTCAATTAAAAAAAAAGATAACAACAATGACAACAATCAAAAAATAGGCAGCAGACCTAAATAGACATTTCTCCAAAGAAGACATACAGATGGCCAAGAGGCACACGAAAAGATACACAACATCATTAATATTAGAGAAATGTAAATCAGAACTACAACGAGGTATGGAGGGTCCCTAAAAAAACTAAAAATAGATTTGCTATATGATCCTGCAATCCCACTCTGGGGCATATATCTGGAGAAAACTCTAATTCAGAAAGATGCATGGACAGGACACTAAATAATAATTTAGTGTTATTTTAAATTTTCTCAAGCATGGTCAACAAGCATGGTTATATGTGGCAAGTCATTGTTCCAAGGAGATGCATGCTGAAATATTCAGTGGTTAAGTATAGGAGTGTTTATAATTTATATGCAAGTGTAAAGACAACAAAAATTTGTGTTATTTCCTATATTATAGAAAGGCAGATATGGGGGAGATAGAGACAAAGAGAGAGAAAGAGCATATATGGTGAAATGTTAATTGCTGAATCTAGAAATGTAGGAGGAAGAGAGGAAGGTATATGGGCATTCATTATGCGACTTAACTTCAACTTTTCTACATGCTTAAAATTTTTCACTAAAAATAATATTCAAAAAGAAAATTTCAAGCCACATTTTTAATTAGGTAACATTTAAATTAAAATTGTTATTCCTCAATATATGTTTGTACAATAATTGTCCTATCTGTGAAATGGAGGAAGTAATATCACATTTGTCAAAAGAAAAGAGGACAGATCATTTTTTATTGCTATGGGCAATGATTCAGAGATTCCTTAATTTAGGGATTCTGGTTCCCACTACATTGCTTCCCTCTTTCAATTTTTTATCAATTAACATTATTCTAAGTAAAATACAATTTCTTATGGTGTCAACAATCCATTGCTTGAAGGTCTGCCTACGCATATTCCCTTGACTGGTATATCTCCTAGAATATTTCAGGATAAAGGAATGTTTGAGGACAGTGACTATACCATCAAAAGGAGCAAAACTATATTATATGATAATGAGGTCTGGGCAGATAAATGAACAACTGATTAGAAATAGTGGGGTCTTTTTTTTTTTCAGTGCTATGAACTCTTTTGGTAACCTGGTGAAATCTGGGACTCCCAGAATAATGCTTTTAAACTCATAATATAAAATACACAGGACTCCAAAGGAAGTCAATTATATTGAAGTACAGTTTTAAGATTATTAGAAACACATTTGTGATACAGTAATGCCTGTTTGCTTTTTATTAACACATTAATAAGATACTGTGGTAGATCTAATACCTACTACAGTTTTGAAGTAGTGATAAGCATGAACCATATTTTGAGATATATGTGACAATTCTAATGAGATATGGAAACATCTGTGATTTCAGATACTGCTAGCATTGCTCTGGTTTATTGCCTATATTCAAAATGCAAGGGGATATTAAACTTCAGTTAAGAGGTTAGTGAAAACAAAGAGGTATTTCCTCCCATTCAAGTTCATGGCACCCCCTGACTTCTATCAGTGAACCAAGGCTTAAGAGTCTTCATTCACAGGGTTACTTTGTTTTAACCTATGACTTCCCTTTATGGTCAATAACTTTTGTTTATATCTTCCTCATTTACAAAGACCATTTTGATGGCTAAGTCATCATTAAACTCATTATTATCAGCCTTAAAACTATAGATGTTATTCAGTTCCTCTGCTACATAATCGAGGCAACAGTGAATTTTCCATATTAAATTGAACAGCTAATTGGCTATATTTTATACTTCATTTACTTCCAACACAGACTAACTTCAATGGATGTCTGCTGCTATTTGAAATTTCTGAGAATTTTCTCCTCATATTTTCAAAGAGAAATTGTCTAAAGTTATGTAGCTATAAAGCTCCACATAGTTTTTATAGACTTTAATCACTTAAATTATACACTTTCTTTCATTGGTGTACATGGACTAAGAAACATTAGATATTTCAATAGCTGTATTTAAATCCCGCTTGCAAACTAAAAATACTGTTGCCAACTGGAACAGTCATCTAATTTTTCACCTGTGCAATAATCTATTTCCTTGTAACTTCTGCTTGGGTTACACTGAAAGCACACCACTGATTAATAATAGTTTCATGATTACAAGCCCTCCCATGATTGTTAGGTTAACATGTTCTTTATAAAATATTATTTTATTTATTTTTACTTTATTTGTATTAGGTGCTTAGCAATAGCTGTAAGTGTATTTGTAGAAATGGCACTTACATTGTATTACTCTTTTATATTTCATAAAACTTAAATGATACAAAAATCCTGAGTTTGCCACAAAACTGATCTCAGTGGAAATTTAAATATGCTAACATCTATTTTTAAAATGTAGCATGAAGTAGACAACTTTAAAAGCTGAGTTTAAAGGAAAAATAAAACCTCAAGGAAGCTGATCTTACTTTTTAAGGAACAAAAGTACAATTTAATGTAGGTCAGAACGTTTAAATGGGAGAATTTTTTCCTAACCAATTACAGCCAAATCCCTACTAGTTGTAATTAACCTACAATGTGTGTAATATTTCACAACACAGTCAGTGTACATCAATTTCTTATTAGCTTAGAAGGACCTAAAATTTTAGAACTTATTTGGTGAAGCAGGTGTATTGTCCTATCAACATTTGTAAGTTCTAATTTGCATTTAGAAGTCAATGACCAATAATAAAAATTTTAAAACTCAGGTAAGAAGTTACAGAAAATATTTTTAAAAGGCTTTACTCAAATATTATATGAGTAAGATACTTCAAAATGAGAAACATTTTATATACAATAATGAAAAAATAATCCTCCAGTCAATTTAATCCATTTTATAAAGCTGATATATTTTTATAGCATGTTATTCAATTTTCCTTAATTTTCCCATTTCTTAATGTCTTATTTTAGACTAGATTGGGTCTAGTGCAGAAATGATGCACAGGTTTAAACCTGCTGATAGTGTAAATATATTAGCTGTTTAAATAATGGGATGTTGTGTATTTAATAGAAGGATTTCAATTTTGGGGAAAAAAAGTGTATGACTTTCCCAAGGAAGAAATATAACTACAAAGCGTGGGTCTTTATTTTATGTCTATGTATATGCATATATCCCCTGGAAAAGGAAATGGCAACTCACTCTAGTATTCTTGCCTGGATAATCCCATGGACAGAAGAGCCTAGTGGGTTACAAACTATGGGGTGACAAAGAGTTTGACATTACTGAGCAAGCAATACTCACTCACTCATATATATAGGTACTCCAGTATTTTCTAAACTAAAATTTAAAAAGAAAATGTTTTTAGATGATGCTATTATTTAACTTTAGTAAGATTTGTCTGTGTATGTGTGCGTGTGTGCATGCACGTGCATGTGTAGGTCAACTAATATGTTCATTTTGTATAGCAGTATGAATTGTATCCACTTTCTGAATAATGTAAAAGGAGCAGAGGTGGCCAGAAGAGGTGGGCAAAGACAATGGACGTAATTCCAAAACCTTTCTAATACATCCTCACCAAAGATGCTCATCAATGAGTTATTCTAGATTTCTGAATATTAAAATCCACCTATTAAGTAGATGAAAGGTAGGAAGCAAGAGCTTGGCAATGAACTGAGTTTTCATTGTTCATGACAATAGTCTCATTTGGTAAATAAAGGGCAAGTCCTCCTTTATGAAATAGGAAAACATTAGCAACAATTGGTAGCATAATACAAAACCCTGTTTATAAAAATATGTATGTTTTCCAACTGCAGCAGCACACACTTGGCTTTCTGTGCTTTCAATACCTTTCAAGGGAAAGTTAAATGATGATTGAATTCAACAATACCGTCTCTTAGGTTTTGTTTTCCCCTGTAGATTTGAACATTTTCAGCCCAAGTCCTTCTTCAAGAATGTGCTAAGAAATGTAGTGGAACTAAAAGGTAAATATGACTATCATGCTTTTCAGCATCATAAGTCATATTTGTAGCTGTTAAACAATCTAGCCAAAGAGCAACTTTTCCTACAAAATAGTCATTTATAACGTCCTTTTCTCATCTTTGTTAAAAAAAAATAACTGAGATGCAGCTTATGAAAGTTAGAATATACTGAAGACATTCATATTTAAACAATCATGTGTGATTTTTGAAACAAACTTCAAAGCTTGGAACAGTCAAAAAGCATTGCCTATTTAACTAGCAACAGTTACATATTATATTATTCAAGGAAAAGAAAGAGCAAGTTCATTATTGCTATTAAGTGTTGATGGAATCCTTAATGTTAGTGCCTTACACCCTGGTTCGAATCTTTCACAAAATCTTTTATTTTTCTTTTAAGGGCAGCTTAAACAGCTCCGCTAAAATTTTAGCATTCCTATTTTAATCTGTCACCCTACCTCTTTTTTCTCTCGGCCAGCTGTTTGCAGACCTCCTGCCACCGCAGATTCAGGCTTCCCAATTTTTCTTGTAGAATACTGGCATCTATTTTTGAGGATTGCTGAATTATTTCTTCCCCAGTTGCATTCAATACTCTGACAACAGTTTGCCGCTGCCCGATGCCATCCTGGAGTTCCTGTGAGATACCAAAAAGGCAAAGACAAAGATGAAGCCCCGTGTCCTTTTATTTGAGAAAAGATTAAACAGTGTGCTACCCCATGCAGTTCTACTGGGGGAGAAAGAAATAAAAAAGCTCCACGTGAAAGTTTCTCTATGAAACTGACATGCCCATATCCAAAGGAGACAAGACAGAAAGACACCTTTTATGTGTCAGGAAAAAAGCGCCCTCTCAGTTCAGCTCCAGTTTTTATATTTGTAAAGCTTGTCAGCTAGAGGATGTTATAATGTCCTACAAATCAATTAGTTGGAAACCTTCTCAAGAGCAAATTCGATTTCTTGTCCCCACAAGGATGTTCCATGTTTAATAGTCTATGAAGTGTTGTAAAATTTAAACATGACGAAACTATTTAGATTTCTTTGAGACTGTCGATGTGAGAGGTGAAAAAGAACAAGTGCACTTTAGCCAGGGTATTTTTTTAAAAACCTCTAGAGATATTTAAACAAATATTCATGACTATATAAGAAGGAAATTTATTTCAAATTGTTTCCATCCATATATTTTGCATTATAAAACCACATAAAAATGAGAATTAATTGCTTTCAGGGACATCCTATCAAGAAATCCCTAAGGTACAGAGGTAAATTTAAAAATAATCTATAGCCACTGGAACATTTTTATGAGTCACTGACAGTGTCAGGCTTAAGCATCTTCTACTATTTATCCTGAATGAAATTTTAAGAAAAATTGTTTTATTGAAAAAGACTATTACAACAAAATATGTATTAAAAATGCCTTTTGCCATGAAATAAAAAGCACTCTAACATTTTTTTTAAAAAAGGTAATATAGAATTTGTAAGGCAATTACAATAACCCATAACTAAATCTGATGGTTAGAAAATGAAATAATATGAGAACTTGAGATATCTGCCATATTTCAATCTAAAGGACTCACAAATCTTTATGTATAGATGAGACAGTCAGTATTCAGAACAGTTTCCTGATACATATGATTCTAGTTAACTTAATATTCTTATATCCTCCTGCCCCAAACCAAGTACCTACAAACTCCATCAAATGCCTGCAAAATGAATAAATCAATGCCTGTTTTCTAAGACTGGGTTAAATCTCCTTTAGATTCTCATTACGGATAAACTTCTTGGATTTTTGTTTTCCATTGCTTTCATGTATTATTATTTTAAATACTAGAATTTTGGATAGTATGTCTTTAGTAGTTAAAAGACTCATTAAATCCACAAAAATGGTAACAGGCCATTATTCTAGGAACATAGTACCTAACACTGATTATAAAACTATGCACAGTCACTGAACTATTCATAAACTTTCCTGACCATACTCTCTTAAGTGAGCATGAGATGTGCTCTTACAAACATGTGATACTTCCTTGCAACTAGTTGATATTGCTCCATTATTTATATTCCACTCTGAACATCTGTTCAGATCAATGTTGCATGTGACAGTCACTGCTTAATAACAGGTAGCCCCAATCATAACAAATTCTGTCTATATTCAATTATATCATAAATTCCTTGAAGTCAAAGATGGTGTCCTATTCACAGTCCTATTCCTGACACTTACTACAACATCTGGTTCATGAGCGATTTCAGTAAGTATCTGTTGAATGAATGCATGAATCTATGAATACAGAAAGTGGAGGAAGAGAGGAGTGCTCATATTTATCATGGTATCATTAGTATTAACACTTATTATTGGACCTCCTACAGATTAAAAGATGTGTGTACAATTTTCTAGGTTCTAGGCAGTATAAAATCTAGCTGAGAAGATTAGACATAAGTGTGAAGGATAATTTGCTATATTATATTCAGTAAGACAGTAAGCAAGGTGATCAGACAGATTAGATAAGTAATTATAAATGACAGATTAGAAGAGAAATGAGCTCAATGGAAGGATGAAAAGGAGAGACCATGGTGGGTAATTTGGGACTGAAAGAATGGGTAGGCCTTAGGGATATGGAGGGTCAGGGCCACAAGAGGATAGCAGAAGGCTAGCCTATGGTGTGGAATTTCTGTGATCTGATCTCAAGTATACACGTGGGCTCTGTGTCACTTCCACAGAGGGGAAGTTTAGGGAGAGGTGTAGCCCTGGATTAATAGTGGGCTTGGGCAGAGAGGACTCTGCTTTTTATTAAAGACTTTGCAGTTCAGTGGAGAGCAACAGAAAATGACTGAAGGACAGGGGTGTGGGAGCTAGAGCTGTGTTCAGAGGTGATTCTGGGGCGAAGTTTAGGCTAATGTTAAAGCAGAGACACAGGTCAAACATCCAGGACAGGAGTCTGCAAGGTAGGTACTGGGGCTAAACCTAGAGTTTAGACAATGCAGTAGAACAGAAAGGTGAGAAGTAACATAAACTGTTAAGGCACAATTAAGAAGGTTAGGGAGCTAGCTGGATCCAGCTATCGTGAATGACTACTGAAATGGGGAAATCTTTGCCTAGAACACCAAACTTAGGGATGCAGTTACAGGAGAAAGATGATGACTCTAATTTGTACCTCCAATGGTGTCCAATACTCACAGCTACTAGAAATACTTTTTAAAAATTCAAACTAGTACAGCCACTATGGAGAACAGTGTGGATATTCCTTAAAAAACTGGAAGTAGAATTGCCATATGACCCAGCAATCCTACTGCTGGGCATACACACTGAGGAAACCAGAATTGAAAGAGACACATGTACCCCAATGTTCATCGCAGCACTGTTTACAATAGCCAGGACATGGAAGCAACCTAGATGTCCATTGGCAGATGAATGGCTAAGAAAGCTGTGGTACATATGCACAATGGAATATTACTCAGTTATTAAAAAGAATGCATTTGAATCAGTTCTAATGAGGTGGATGAAACGAGCCTATTATACAGAGTGAAGTAAGTCAGAAAGAAAAACACCAATACAGTGTATTAACACATGTATATGGAATTTAGGAAGATGGTAATGATGACCCTATATGTGAGACAGCAAAAGAGACACAGATGTAAAGAACAGACTTTTGGACTCTGGGAGAAGGCACGGGTGGGATGATTGAGAGAATAGCATTGAAACATGTATATTACCATATTTGAAATAGATCGCCAGTCCAGGTTTGATGGATGAGACTGGGCACTCAAGGCCGGTGCACTGGGATGACGCTGAGGGATGGGATGGGGAGGCAGGTGGGAGGGGGTTCAGGATGGGGGACACACCCATGGTTGATTCATGTCAATGTATGGCAAAAATCACTACAATATTGTAAAGTAATTAGCCTCCAATTAGAATCAATAAATTAATTTTTTAAAATGCATAGAACACCTGTAAGATGTGTGCTACAGCAGTGCATCTCAAACTTCAATGTGCACATCTCCAAGAGATCTTGCTAAACTGATGATTCTAATCCAGTAGGTCTAAGGAGGGCCCTGAATTTTCAGCTTCTAACAAGCTTCAAGAGGATGCCGATATCACTGGTGTGGGAACAACACATTGAGTAATAAGATGATAGAGTAAATGCCTTCTGAATCTTTGTTAACGAATCAAAGAATTCTTGTTGCTGGTTTATAATGCTATAAACTAATGAAACTTCACAAATTTTATCTCAGGCGTCTTGCTTTGTATTTTTGATCTCAGTTTTTCCACTTCATGGCTGATGGCTACAGTGACTTTTACAATCCAATTGTAGAATCAACATGGGTTTTATTATTTCCATTTCCCAGATAGGTGATAGAACTGAGTAGCTAAGAATGAAGCAATAACTTAAAATTGGTAGATCTAAATCTCATTTTATGTAGAGTCCCAAATCAGGGCTTTCAGATTTTTTTTTAATTTTGTGAAAGAGAGCTCATTAAATAGTCTATTGCATTTGTGTGAAGAGATTTTGCAATCAGGAGAAGTATTTACAGGGTATGATCGACCTGAGGAGAATTTTCAATAATAAAGCCTAAGAAGGCAAAATAATGGACCAAAACAGGAAGTTAAAACTTGTACATGTTGTTTCACAGTTAGCTGCTGAGCCTGAAGATGTGACTTGATTTACACAATTAAATGGAAAACCTCAATCAACTTTATTCACTTAGTGCAAAACAAATTAATTTTCATTTTATAACTTCTAAATATTTTAAGTACTAAATTATTCACTACCACTGAAATTTCCAAGCTCTGATACCACATTCAAGTTCTGTTGTCCTAGGCATTCTTATCTATTTCTCTAGCAATTAACATCTAGTCTGAGTTTGGGATAGAAAAAAATCATAATTAAATTGATTGGATTATTCATCATCCCTTAGAAAGTTTATTGTGTTTTGATTCCAATATTAAAGCATCATTCTTAATAATGACTGCTTATCAGACTCCCCTAGGGAGGTTTTTCAAAATATAAAAGCCCAGAATTTCACATTAAACCAGCTGCAGCAGAATCTCTGGGTATAAGGGGACAAAGGTGTACAAAGCAGATACATTATTAAAGAAAGGGTAGGCAAGAAATACATGGAGCAGGCAGGGGCACAGGAGGGACATGTTTTAGAGTTACAGCATTATTATTTACTTCTTGTATGCTTTTTGAATAGAGAAAATTTCCTAAATTATAGAAAGTGACACATATATCTCAATCCTCCAAGTCTGGTCAAATTGAGGGAAGAGAAGAAGAATTACAGGCAAGGAAGAACAGCTACATTTTTATAGAGGGAAAAGATGAGACAAAGAAACTAGTACATCTTATATGAAAAGACTGCATAAATTTTAAAAAAGCATATGTGCAAAACTTTCCAAAACTGCATGAAAACAAAATCAACAGAAAATAAAATGTGACAAATGAAAAAGAAGCAGCTAAGAAGCAGTTACAGGGAATTGTACAATGACAAATTGGATAAGCTATGTAGGAGATAAAGAACTGGCAAAATATCACAAACTAGGCAGAATAGGAAAACAGAAGAGACAAAAAGTGACTGGGAGAAAAGGTAAAGATTGAGGGGAACAGAAGAGAGAAAAACAAACCTTTGCTGAATAAGTGGATA